CCCCCTATGCCTCCCTGCCTCTGTTAGTACAAGCTAGTTCAGCTGATAGAATAAACCCATTGCTGCTTGTTCATCAGTTTAGCATTTGGGTCCCCTGTACCTTGGCTCCTGGTTAAATGGTGTACTGCTTTTGTCACACTCCATGTAACAATTCATTGCAACTCAACAGGACTTTCTCCCATGGTAAAGCTCCAAACAGAGGACAGAGCACGAGTGCCAGATGTCAAGAGTCTCTAAAACAGTTTGCTGCCTTTCTATTCTGAGAGTTTCCTATTCAAACACATTTTGTATATGTTTCCCCACATATAGCTGGTAGCCAGTGCAACAGGAAATCTGGCATCTCTAACCACGCTAAATGTATTAAGTCACAAAAAGTCAAGCCAAGCAAACTTACTTATTGGTCCAATTAAAAACATCATAAAAAAAACCTTGTTCACTTTTTAGTAGGGACCCAGGACCACATCTTCAGTTAAAAACCAGAAGCTACACTTTAGCAGCAAGCCTTGAGAAAGGGTTCTGCAGCATCAGGCACACTTGACAAACACACACGTTTTACGTATGTATAGCTTAGCCCTCCAAGGAACCCAACCATTCTGTCCAGTCAGCAGCGAACTCTGCCCTCCTGAACAGTCAATAGCTGTATACATTAATGACCATAATCCATTACAAAACCTGACAAAGGGATGGTGTGGAGAATGTGTTGCTCTCAATGGTTTCAGTTGCTGTCTGTATTTCAAGCACTAGGGTCTACTATTAATGGAAACAAAAACGCACCTATGGAATGAGCAAGCTCATTCCACTGGAAAATGCTGTCCCTTAAGGGATTTACTCACTCAAGTCCTGCATCTAGAGCAGGGGTGGCTAGTGGGCTGGATCCAGCCCACAGCTGCCTCGCCTACACCCTTACTGCAGAGCAGAGGCAGCCACTTTAAAGAGTGGGCTGCTAATTGCTCTGCAATTTGGGCAGAGAGGAAGAATGGAATGAGCAAGCTCATTCCACTGGAAAATGCTGTCCCTTAAGGGATTTACTCACTCAAGTCCTGCATCTAGAGCAGGGGTGGCTAGTGGGCTGGATCCAGCCCACAGCTGCCTCGCCTACACCCTTACTGCAGAGCAGAGGCAGCCACTTTAAAGAGTGGGCTGCTAATTGCTCTGCAATTTGGGCAGAGAGGAAGAAAGCTTTGTGCGCCATCTCTGTCCCCTAGCAAAATCTCCAAACTCCCATTGGCCAGTTTCCAGCCAAAAGGAGCTGAGAAATTTTGCTGGAAGGCAGGGGCAGCGAATGAAGCCTCCTCCCCCTCTTCCTCCCCCTCCCTCTCTGTGCCAGAGCAGAGCCACATGGAGCAGCCCACAGGGAGTCTGCAGAGCTGCTGGCTGAAAACCACCTAGGTAAAAGTGCCTCCCAGGCAAAGCCTGCCTCTGGCACCTCAGCCCTGCTCTCCCCCCAACTATCTACCACAGGCCACCACCCAAACCTTCTGTATCCCCTCTTCCCACCTCCTCCAGGTCACAACTCCATCCCAGCCCCTGCACACATAACCCGTCCTGGACCCTGCACCCCAACTCGCTGGCCAGATTAGAACCCTCCTCCTTCACCCAAACTCCCTCTCAGACACCACACTCCCTTCTGCACCCCACTCCTCTATCCCAAGCTCCTTTTTACAGTGCTCAATTCACTCTTCTGGGTCTCAGGGACAGCCAGTCGTAGGAAGGGCCTCCATATCAAATACAGACAAGGAGCATCCAGGACAGTATTTGAAAAAAATGCTCAACAAATGAACCAGAGTTGTCTGGATTCCTTTCTATTCCTCCTTGGCAGGATACAGGGCTTGAGTCAGCGAGATACAGGGAGAAAATAATTCCTCCGTTCTCCTCCAAGCAGCCAAGAAAAGAGGGGAGGAGGGGGGAATCAAGGCAGGGAAGCTCATTTACCCCAAACCCTATAGTGTGTGTTAGCAACACTACATCTTTGCTCTTCTCCCTAGCAAAACTGGGCCAGCATTAACTGGTCACGTAGGAGACAGCACAAGACGTGTCCACAGGCAAGGCAGAAGTGATGTGTTTTGTACTCTCACTTCACAGACTACAGCTACACCTCTACACTAGTGGCTGGTTTGTGGAAGTATCTCCCAGATATACCATTGATTGCAGAAACCAGGCTACATACTTCCTATGCTCTGCAGTTCAAATGAACTAGCACAGCACTCAACCAAAAAGCCCTGACTGCTACAGACAGGGACACCATGTTGTCAACAATTGCAGTCAAAGACTTAAGCCCAGATTTGCCAGGATCAGGCTGAACTGTTTTCCAGGATAGCTGCTGCTGGCATGGTTCAAGCCTTGGGACAAACAAAGCCTAGGCGGCAAGTCTCACCATTAGGAACTAGGAACGTCAGTAATCATGTAATTTAGTAATTGTGTAACCGCGGGCAGGGCTGACCGCCACTGCACTCCCAGGCCCACTCCTGGGAAGCCCACTGCCCGTCCCTGCACTGTTAGCTCTGTATCAGTCAGCAGCGCAGGGTAGCAGGAGGGAGCTGGTCTGCAAGGTCCCCACGCAGACCAGCTCCCACCTGCTGCCACCTCGATACAAAGGCATCAGCGTGGGGCAACAGCCCCTGTCTGCAGGGGTCCCCAAGCTCCCCGTAGACCAGGGGTCTCCAACCTTTTAAAGTATGAGATCACTCTTTGAATTTAAGTGCAATCTGAGATCTACCTCAAACCCAAATGCCCTTGCCCTGCCTTCTTTGTGACTTCTCAGAGGTCCTGCCCTTGCTCCCTCCATCCTCCCTCCCTCCCCCATCCTCCTTCCCTTTCACCAGGAAGGGGCAGGCTCTGGTCTTGGATTAAGGGATCTGGAGTGTGAGAGGGGCTCCGAGCTGAGCTTGGGGCAGGCAGTTGGGGTTTAAGAAGGGGTTCTAGGTGCAGGCAATGGGAGGGTGTTTGGATGAAGGGGTGCTTGAGGCTAGGAGGACGGAGGGGGGTCATGACTGGGATGTGGATTCCAGCTGGCACTGCTTACCTCAGGCTCACCCCTGCCCTGGCCCTGCACCACTCCCAAAAGCAGCCCGCAAACTCCATCCCAAGTCCTGTTGTGGGCCCGCCCCCCGCTCTGTGGAGATAGGGTACAGGGTGGGAGAGGGGGCACCTTGACATCAACACCCTTCTTCTCCCTCCCCTGCCCTGCACAGCAAGCAGGAGGCTTCTGGAGGTGAGGGGAGGCAGTTCCAGTGCAGTAGAATCATAGAATCATAGGACTAGAAGGGACCTCGAGAGATCATCGAGTCCAGCCCCCCGCCCTCAAGGCAGGACCAAGCTCCATCTACACCATCCCTGACAGATGTCTATCTAACCTGTTCTTAAATATCTCCAGAGAGGGAGATTCCACCACCTCCCTTGGCAATTTATTCCAATATTTGACCACCCTGACAGTTAGGAATGTTTTCCTAATGTCCAATCTAAACCTCCCCTGCTGCACTTTAAGCCCATTACTCCTTGTCCTGTCCTCAGAAACCAAGAGAAACAAATTTTCTCCTTCCTCCTTGTGACACCCTTTTAGATATTTGAAAACCACTATCATGTCCCCCCTTAATCTTCGTTTTTCCAAACTAAACAAGCCCAGTTCATGAAGCCTGGCTTCATAGGCTTCTCTAGACCTTTAATCATTCTTGTCGCTCTTCTCTGTACCCTTTCCAATTTCTCCACATCTTGCTTGAAATGTGGCGCCCAGAACTGGACACAGTACTCCAGCTGAGGCCTAACTAGCGCAGAGTAGAGCGGCAGAATGACTTCACGAGTTTTGCTTACAACACACCTGTTGATACAACCTAGAATCATATTTGCTTTTTTTGCAACAGCATCACACTGTTGACTCATATTCAACTTGTGGTCCACTATGACCCCTAGATCCCTTTCCGCCATGCTCCTTCCTAGACAGTCGCTTCCCATCTTGTATGTATGGAACTGATTGTTCCTTCCTAAGTGGAGCACTCTGCATTTCTCCTTATTAAACCTCATCCTGTTTACCTCTGACCATTTCTCTAACTTGCTAAGGTCATTTTGAATTATGTCCCTATCCTCCAAAGAAGTTGCAACCCCACCCAGTTTGGTATCATCTGCAAACTTAATAAGAGTACTCTCTATCCCAATATCTACATCATTGATGAAGATATTGAACAGTACGGGTCCCAAAACAGACCCTTGAGGAACTCCACTTGTTATCCCTTTCCAGCAGGATTTAGAACCGTTAACAACAACTCTCTGACTACGGTTATCCAGCCAATTATGCACCCACCTTATCGTGGCCCTATCTAAGTTATATTTGCCTAGTTTATCAATAAGAATATCATGCGAGACCGTATCAAATGCCTTACTAAAGTCTAGGTATATGACATCCACCGCTTCTCCCTTATCCACAAGGCTCGTTATCCTATCAAAGAAAGAGTTGTTGCAGTTAATCGGGACCACTAACCGATAAGCAATAGCTTATCAGTCATCTGACTAGCTGCTAACATCCCTATTAGGAACGGGACTGCACCAGCTCATTAATTTGCAAGTGACTACTTGCCTCTGGTTCTTCCCAGAATGATCCTAAGTTAATAAACCCCAATCATGTTGCTCTTTATTTAATACTTTTGTATCTAGATTTTACTTAGTAATTCTAGGTAAAAAAATAATAATTCTGAAAA